TGGCCATCCTCATCCCCGTGCTCACCGCCCTGACTCGCTGCCAGGCTATGCCGTTCTGAGGAGGACAAGTCGGCTGGAAGCCTTTATCTCAGTGGTGCATTAATGGACGACTGCCAGGCTGCGTGATGGCCCCTGCCCTTTGTGAGCTGGGTATCAGCCTGCATGCTTCTCCTCGCCCTTTCACAGCAAGCTCTGTGGCACAGGGAGGACGTTCCTAAATTTAAGAGGAGCATTAAATGGCAGTGCCTGCTTTGCAGAAGGGACCAATCCCTAAAGTGGACAGAACAGGACTGCTTAACCTCTGCCCAGTGGCAGAGCTCTTACCTGGCAGTAGCTTGTGGTCGGTTCATCATCATCAGTGGAGTTCTTCTCTTCCATACTGGGCCCTGGACTCTCTGCCTCCCTTCTCTTTGAAGGGAGGAGCCAGGTGATGCTCTCAGACTCCTTCTGGCCATCTGGGTCTCCATCTTCCGTATCATCGGCAACCCCGTTCTCCCTGCTTATCTGCTCTCCTTTCCCAGGCTCATTTTGGTTCAAGGAAGAACTGGGCACAACTGGGTTACCAAACTCCTTCTTATGCAATAGCTGCCTCTGAGCCTGCTTCAGGCTCTTCTGGTAAACCTCCAGCTGACACAAGATGACTTTGGTGTACTGGTTGGGGTCCACTCCTTTGGGGCAGAAGGGAACGCCCCAGTAATAGTGCACTGTGTCCCTCGCCTCCTCCTGCTTGTGCTTCTCCTCTGCTGCATTCAGTACGCAAAGCTCAGGGGTACTGTCAGGCACCTCGTTCTGCTCTGCTTGCTCTGTGGAAACACAGGCTTTGGTGGTGTGCCTGGCCTGCAAAGTGTGCTTGGCATCTGCCCCCCCACCACTCCTCCGGGGGCTGTCACGCTGTTCCACAGTCCAGCTCTTCCAGACTGTGGCTGAGCTCTCAGCACCAGCTTCTCCCACAGAACGGCCAGTGCAGGGCAGGGGCTGCTCTTCTGGTTCGTGGCCTGTTGCTTCAGAAGAGCTGGAGGGGCTTGTGAACAGTCTCCGAGGTGTCAGTCGCCAGGAGCCTGAAGTCACCCTGCCAAAGGTGGGACTCAAAGAGATGAGGTTCTCTTCGAGAGTGCTGGGTAACATGATACTAGAATCACTTTTTGCTGGTGAGGAAGGCTTTTCACTTGACCTTGTCACAGGCTGGCCCTTCCCTGGAGTCACGATTATGCTGGATGCTAGTGAGCTTTCAACGATTTCCTGGCTTAACCTCCTCAGCACTACCAGGGGGCTTCGGGCGACATCCATCTGTCCGCTCCCATCAGCTCTGGCGCTCTGTGAGTGGGAGCTGCACTCGGAGCGAGGGGTGCCAGGGCAAAGCGCCAGACCTCCCAGGATCTCAGAGCCTTCTTTCTCAGCGGGCTGGCCTTGGCCTCGTGCGCCCAGCACTTCTGCAGACAGCTGAGGGGTTGCATCAGAAGAGTCTGAGGGCCGACAGCTCTGAAAAACAAAAGGTTGATTCTCCAATAGGCATATTATCTATCAGCAGAGCATACCAAGGACTCCCCTAGCACACTGACAGCCATCAGCTGGACTGCAGACCCCCTGCCTTGATCAGAACTGTGTACCCCAAAAGAGGGGACATCTGAGGCTAGACTTCATAGGCGCCTCTCACTAGGGATGGTACAAAACAACTCCTCTGTGACTGCTGTAGATCCAGCTTGCACTGGAAATTCCTCAGTCCCCAGTAAAACCTTCTTTTGTGCAGCGTGGCAAAGCAAGCACAGAAACCAACACTGCTGAAGAACCCTAGTAAGCCTCTTCACATAAGCGCACTTACATGAAGGCTCTCAGCAATGGCCTTCCTCAAGAGCTCCTCCTCTTCCTCTTCCTGACAATTCACTTGTCTGGCTTCTTGCTCACTCATTTTCAGGGCCAGTGCAAACTGTTCCTCTTCAGTCATCTCTACAGCAAAAGAGAAAGGATAATGTCAAGTCACAGCTGCAGGTGTATGTACCCAACGTATATCCAACGTGTGGGGGGAAATTACTAAAGGTCCCACCTCCCCAGGAGGAATGCAGGAGAAAGCATTTAAACCTCAGCTTTCCTGAAAAGGTGTCACCAAAACCGGAGCAGGCAACACTAAATGAAAAAGGTAACTCAAGTCAGGAACTTCAGTTAGGGTTTCTACAGCAACCTCAACTCCCACTCCCTGGGTATATTTACTGCAACAGGACATTTTATTTGCCCTCATCAGACAACACACTCTACAGCTGCAGAATTCATGTTCAAGGAGAGCAGAAAAGGACAGACTTCCAAAGTGTGCTCACTTTTGTATCAGACAAGCTCAGCAGAAAGGCAGGATAAAGAACACATCTTCTTTAATACACTTTTTTACTAGCCAAATAAGTCTGAGATCACTGCCTTCTGACAAGCAGATACCTGCAGTATCACAGGAGACCTACCCAAGAGAAAAAGAGCTACACGTTGTTCACCCCAAGCTGCAGGTAGAAAGCTCTGTGGAGGATAATGTTACTTGCTCGGTGGTATTACGGAGGATCTTTCACATGCATACATCCCCCTTCTGCTCACATCACCACTCCACTGCATCACTAAGTCAGTCACGCATGGGAAACAGGTTTCCTACAGTTGTAACTGCTATTTCAGCAGAAAATTTCTTCCTGAAATATTCCTCACTTAGAGCAAACCAGAAGCCCAAGCCTGGCTATTTAGAAACAAAGCAGTTAGTTACTTTGGAAAACACTTATTTACTTAGATTCAATCCAACACTTTCACTGCGCTTAAAATATACAGTGCCTGCAGAACGGAGTGCAGCTTGGAAAACAACTCAACAGCACTCTCAGGAGCTGAAAAATACATCTTCTCACTCAAAACAAATTGACAGATTTCCTTCAAACCCTTCTCCCTCCTGCCCGCGCCACCTCACGCGTGTGCCGAGCGGCCTG